GTTGACACAACTGTAATTATCTTCAAAATATATCTTTCAAAATCCGTCTCATTTCTTTACTTTTATGTTTGGTGCAATGACTTATTGTTTGTGTTGTTCCTTTTTTGTTTAGATGCTGTTAACACATCAGCTTTTGTCTCAGTTTTAACATGTTTATAACACAGAAATTGTTTCCTCATAAACAGTCAAATGATTTGGCTTCTGTCTCCTGTCACTTGACCTGTTTCCCTCCCTCTCTGACTCATCTTTCTCAGAAGTGTGTTTGTGTTTCTACAAGACTCGGCTGGATTCGATGCTGAACTGTTTCCCGGCTCTTTGGCAGTAATTGGTGGAAAGACTGGATCTGCACTGATTTCTGGGCGTGTCAAATCCTGCGTCTACTGTAATAATGGTGACATTAATAGTTTTGGATACGCTTGCCAAGCTATTTTTCCTTGTATGTCAATGACAGGTTGTGATTTATAGTGTGCTGTAAATTGCTTTATATTGTATCATAAAAGCATAACATACAACTAACAGGACATTGTGTACATAAAGAGGTTGGCATAATTTTATCTGTTTTTAAATCCATTTCTGTTGTTTTGGGATTTATTATTTTACTGATATCTTCTATTGTTAGCCTGCCACTATTAGTCCAAATGATGTTTAATATTACAAATATTTATATACACAAGTCACCATCAGTTATGAACATGCAGCTCAAATAAATAATCTTACATTAATGAGGAATTCCCCCCCCTGGGTTGTGTCTCATGCTGCATAGAGGTATACTGGAAACATTGAAGCACTACTTATATATATTTGTTTGGTGCTTTCCTTGTGTATTTTTATTTTCTGCTAATTAATACTCTTGCTCCACTACAATTCAGAGGGCAACGTTATACTTCTTATATTACCTAAAACTAAATGTCATTAGATTTTGATTAACTATCCCATCAATCATCTCATCACCCCTTGGATTTACCCTGTGACCACTTGACAAAACAAACTGTATAAAGCCTTAAGATTAGACGTTTACACATTAATGCATCAGTAATACGACCAAATAAAGTAATGCAGAGGTTGCAGCTCAGTTTGTTTTTTTACATCGCTGTGCTTTGTGACTTGCCGCCTCCCACCCTCTTGTGCTGCGCTGGTGGAAAAGCAAACAACCCTAGTTTTCTCGTAGTCCGAGATCTTCCATGGCGAACACAGACGGGACAGATAGGTGAATAAAGACACCGTGAGTATCTATCTATCATTTCTTACATGTTTAACTTTGATCTGTAACGTTACATCCTTCTCTATCACGGTGTAAAGCTTCACCAGAGCTGACACTAACATTTCGGTTTACAATATGCAGCTGAAGTGTCATTGTCTCTTTAATCACGGCTTTATCATGCTGTGTGCACATGCTTTCTTTCAGTATTAGTGTATAGCCAATATGTAAATAGATGTGAAAACAATTTATTCAAACTTTCCTAAAAGTAGCCTTAAAGTATCAAAAGTGCTCATTATGCAGTATCCCTTTGAGATTTCTATACATAACATCATTAATATTATTACTGATGCATTAGGCAGCATTTAATGTTGGTGGAGCCAATTTAAGTGTCTATAACATTTGTATAATACATTCAAAAGTACTGAAGGCCTACTTTAGTATCTTTTGTAGTTACTTTCACTTTGTAAAAAACTCTTTGGATATGCTGAAAGTACAAAAAGTTAACTACTCATTATGCGGAATAATGTATATTAAAATATGAATTTACTATTGATGCAATAATAATAATATTGCAGTAAATATCACTTTAATGTTCCACCTGGTTCATGTAAAGTGTATTTTAACTAGCATATTTATTTATCTGATGGTAGATTGTAAAAATGTTCTCCCTTGCGATTAATTAAGTTTTATATTATTCTTTAATGTCACACTATCATGTATTTGTTGATTGTTTTGTAATAATCTGAATCTGCAAATAATCTAAAGTTATCTAAAATAAAACTCTTCATCCCAGCAGTGGTATAACTGGGGGATTTGATAGTTTATACAACCAGTACTTGTAAAATCGATATCATTTATATTCCTCTGCTCTTTTCTCTTTGCTCTCTGCCAGAGGCTGGGTAAACTCACAGTGTTTATATCTGTGGAGGTACAACAGGGAGGAACCGTTTACATTTCTCACATTGCAGAATCTAATTGAGATCTAATTTCCACTTTGATTGATTCTAAACGTTTGCATTTTCCTCCCTCACAGCTCTGTATCTGACTATCATGGGTGTCTCAGAGGAAGACGACTACTTCTACCATGAAAACATCAGCTTCAACTTCAGCTACGACGACTACCCGGCCCTCTGCGAGAAGGCTGACGTCCGCTCCTTCGCCGCACTCTTCCTCCCCGTCATGTACGCAGTGTGTCTGGTGTTGGGGCTGGCAGGAAACGGCTTAGTCGTGGCGGTCTACGCCTACCACAAACGCCTAAAGACCATGACAGATGCCTTCCTGACCCACCTGGCCGTCGCTGACCTGCTGCTGCTCTTCACGCTGCCTTTCTGGGCTGCTGATGCGGCGAGGGGCTGGGAGCTGGGCGAGGTCGTCTGTAAGATGGTGTCGGCCTGCTACACGGTCAACTTCACCTGCTGCATGATGCTGCTCGCCTGCATCAGCCTGGACCGATACTTGGCGTTGGCCAGGGCGCAGGGCAGAGGGCAGAGTGGGCGTCTGCAGAGGATATTCTCCAGGAGACACAGCTGGAGGATTTGTTTTGTGGTTTGGATGACAGCTTTTTTACTCGGACTTCCTGATTTGATCCTCTCCGAAGTGAGATGGTCGTCTAACAGGAGCGTCTGTCTGGCCATCTACCCTGCCTCCATGGCTCGAGAGGGGAAGGCGGCTCTGGAGATGGCCGAGGTGCTGCTGGGTTTCCTGCTTCCTCTCCTGGTGATGGTGGTGTGTTACTGCAGTGTGGGCCGGGCACTGAAAGACCTTCCCATGGAGAGCAGAGGCAAGAAGTGGAAAGCTCTGCGCGTCCTCCTCACAGTGGTGGGTGTCTTCGTGGTCACTCAGCTGCCTTACAACGTGTTGAAGGTCTACCGAGCGATGGACTCGGTCTACGCCCTGGTGACCCACTGCGGGACCAGTAAAGTGCTGGATCGGGCGGCTCAGCTGGCGGAGAGCTTGGCCCTCACTCACTGCTGCCTCAACCCCCTCCTCTACGCCTTCGTGGGCTCCTCCTTCAGGCTGCACATGGGAAAAGTGGTCAAAAGGTTTGGCGAGAAGAGAAGACAGAGGAGGAAGAGGAGCGAAAACCCTGTAGAGGAAGTAGAGATGGAGATGTCATTTAACTCCCACAGTGCATCTCAAGAGACAAACACATTCTCAATATGATTCAACATGGGGTAACAATCAGTCTTTATCACTAATTTAGTAAAGTCGAAGAAAGGCATGTGTTAAAATCGTTAAGATGTAAAATTCCACTTACGTTTTAACTCTTGATTCCCTCAACAACAAAAGGAAGCTGTTATGTCAATATTTTAGCTTTAGGCAAAGTAACCAAATAATTGTATGTTTTTTCTGATGTGAGTGATGAACGAAAAACTGGATTTGGCTTTATGTTTTGAGTATTTTAAATGTACCATTTGAACTTTGATTTAAATGTTTTACACAATTTAAAAAAAGCACTCATTGCAGGATAACTTACAAGCTTAAATTAGATTTGTTTTCTTCTTTCTCCAGAGCCATGAGATAACACGCATTCCTCCTGGATTTCACAAGACACATTTACTGCTTTTCTAGCTGCACTCACAGTAATAAAGCAGAACAAAGATAAACACTCAGACTTGCTTCTCTTCATCACACACTTAACAAATGAACTGGCACTCGGCTGTTTCAGAGAACTACTTTGTAAATGCAACTTGTTTGAAATCATGATTGTTTTAATTGTTATCAACTTAAGTAAACATGCCTTCTACACTCGATCTTAAACATCTGCACAGCCTGAACCAGATGTACTGGCATGACTTAGAAACTCTAATAATGTTCCAGTTGAGCTATGTCCTTTCTGATCATGAGTTGTACTTCTTAGCTGTAGTTCCTGAAAATTAAAAGCTATCACATATCAGCTTTATGTCACTCAGGGTGCTGCTTGCAGAGCCTTGTCCCAAATCTACATCCAGTGGGATTTAACTTCCTTTCATGCGGGACAACCACAGATTAGTTTCCTGAATTCCTCAGAACATCTGAGGCACATTTACTGCACACGTACGTCTTAGTTTCGCAGCACAACACACTGAAAAACACTTATTTACGAGGAGATGGGCGTCCTTCGCAATCGCTGCAAACTACTAACATACATCTGTAACATTCATTACAGATGTTTCTCTTCCGAACTGATTAACCTTGCAAGATGACTTGAAGAGGCATAGAGAAGGAGGGTTGCAGATTTAAACATTGAGTAATGGACTTGTTAAACGTCCGGTAAAAGCACACTGTGTACCTCTTTAGATACACAGAGTCTGTGGTAATTACCAGGAGGTTAAACTCTTAAATGTGCCGGTAATGTTCATTTGTTATTGATCAGGATTATCTTTCCCTTATGTTGTGTTCGGGTCTCCCGTGACCCGTTTCAAGTTAAAATTATATAATAACTACTCTTTAGTTTTTTTTATCGGAACAAGGCTTCATGATATCCTCCACAACAGCTATAGAAACACTACAAAACTGATTTTGACAATTTTTGCCAAGTCTTAAGGTCTCTAAAAAAAAAAAGTGTATAATTTGGTGTTCGGGTCTGGGGAGACCCAGCAGAATTGTTTTGGGTGACTCGAGGTCAAATTTGGCCCAATCAAGATTCATCTTTGACTTTAGACACCCCACCCCCTTCATCAACTGGAACAATAATTTTTCGCAACATGCACCTGGTCTCCCCTCCCTCTGCCCCCCTCCCCCCCTGGGAACTCGACCTTTCTCAAAGAATATGTACACTAACACTTGAACCTGAACACACACATGCACGTGTGCAATATGTGGTGTAATGTCTGTTTTGGACTGAGATAAATCATGGGTCAAAATTGACCCGAGAACACCATGAACGGTAACAGCTTTTGAACACAACAAGGGTTAAGAGAAAATGTTTAAAGCAGCAGCTAAAGGATGTCAGATATTACAAAATGTTCCAATATGTTTATAGCTGATGGGATCAAATGTTGTTGTGCTAACAGATTTGTTTTAAAGCGGACAATATAAACTTTGTGTCAATAAAAATGAATTGCACTTCTAAGTGTATAAAAGTTCAGGGCTTATTGTTTGTGAGCAAATTAAAACTGTGAATCAGACATAAACACAGCACTTGGAAATGTCCCCTGTGGATTGTCATTAATCCGTCAGACAAAATGTCAACATATTGAGTGTTAGTTTCACAAGTTCTCCAAAAATGAGATTAGAAAAAAACATTTCCATTTAATCTTTTTTTCTTCCCGTTTCCCAGCTGGTATAAATCAAGTGATGCTGCAGGTCAGGCTCCGGCACACATGCTCTCCATGAGGTTTGCCATCTGCGAGTGCTAAACATTTCACTCAGCCAAACATGAAAGCGTTGCAGGAAGCGTTCAGATAACATGAAACCTTGAATACTCCCAGACAAACCAGTCTCACATAACGAAGGTTCAGTATGCTCAAATCAAATTATAATCACTAGTTGTCAGCAACTTTGTAAATGGAGATTTATTGAAAAAACTTCATAAATGTGCAAATAAAAAACAATACGTCACAAAAACATGACTTCTGTAATCAAAGAAAACGATAAATATACAAAATATTTAACATCTCAACAATTAGACATTTCAGATCAGATATCTGGCTAATTCACGAATCACAATTAAGGCAGTCAAACAGCTTCATTTTCAACAAACTAGAACCAAGAATATATTCTTTTAATTAAATAATAAAAAAAACATTAGTTATTTAAATATATAACTAATTATACAAAATGTAAAAAACAAAACTTTAGAGGCCTAAAATGGCAGTCTCAATAATTTAGAAAATAAATCTTTCTGGCATTTTCACGTGAGAACAAGATTACAAAATGTAACCAAAACATTCACTCATTAAATACAAAATGCCCTTTTATCAAAAATAACTAACTTTTACAAATGATGCTTTTCATGTAAAGTTACTTACATGCCCTGAACTCCATCATATACCCTGTATCAAATGTAAGAAAGAAGCCAATACTGAATTGTTACAAGTTACTGTGAATATCAACTAAAGAGAACACTCACAGTCTGAACCGTTCATGAACAGAGAGAGGGTGAAGAAGCAAAGAGGATTTTCACATTTCTGGATGTAGAAAAATACATACACGCAAAAGTGCAGTAAGGCTGAAGATTGTCCTGGCTCACTTCCACCAACTATTACTCTGAATGATCTTTAACTAGGAAATGATTAAATTGGACACATAATAACTCATTGTGGGTTCATTTATACCATATCGGTGAGTATTTCAGGCACTTCTGTGTTGTGTGGCAAACTCAAGTTGCCTGGCAGACAAACAGTAAAAGGTCTGATGTGTATGCTTTTTTTCAGATAACAGCGGTATGTTTAAGTATCAGCTGTGCAATTATAACAAAAATGGGGAAAGGCATCTTTAGAGCGTCTTTAGAGAGAGGCAAAAAGTGCGTGCTGAGATTCAGATGAGGGCCATCAGTAATTTAGGATCTGCACATCAAAAAGGTCACACACTCCCTCGTTGTCGTCCAGGTTAAAGCTGTAGTCTATTACTGTGTGAGAAGAGAGAAGCGTTAACAACAAAACATCCTGCAAACATGAACAGAGAACAAAATAAACACTACTCATGGACGTTAAGTTATGCTAGCAGAATAGCTCTGGCATTTTACCTGATCATAGTATATATCATTCTTGGGCACAAATCGGTTGATAACAATATTTTGGTTTATGATCAAGTACCTGCTAACTAATGACCTTCGCATAAACCTCAGTTGTTCTTTGTTAGTGCTAATTTAGCATGCAAACACAAGACATAGATGTTGGACATGATGATGTTAGCATTTAGCTAAAAGCAGTGCAATCTGAAAGAGCTGCTAGCATAGCTGTGGTTGAGTTAATTACATGTGTCTATATACTGTAAATGCAGACATGTTATTGACAGTTTTTCATTTATAACATTAGTTAAGGTTTTGAGTACTTACCATCCGCAGACATTAGCTCATCAATAAGGTCGACAGCACCTAAGAGAATTAAAAACTCTGAGTAAAAGCAAACTTGAATCTAAAAGCCTTGATTGAAACAAATGTGTAGCAAACATTAAATGACCCCGAGTTTCATGCCTGTATGTAAATATGGAGATAACCCTTGTAGCGTCACATACCATCTCTGTCGTCCTTCAGGTGGTCTCCGGCTGTGCTGAGCTTCAGCAGGCCGCCCACGTCCAGCACTGACTGAAACTCTGAGCCCAGGTCCATCTGCTGCTGCCCCAACATCACCGCGGACTGAACGTGACACTCTGCAGGGAGCAGCGGGGGGTAAAACTTAGCTATACTTTACAGCCTATTGTGGAAAATTAAACTTTACAGGGCTCAATTATCTGGACCTAGAATTGTAAAAGAGTACACGACACACTGGGACAGAGACCCTTCTACAGTCAGCTGTGGGGAGAGTAATTTCAAGTCCATGTTGGTTCTGGGCAGCGCTATGTAACATTTGATCCTCATATCAAAGTGATTCTCTTTAACGGTATCTGAGGACTCTCACTGAAGAAAACAACCTTAACCTGTATAGTTTTACAAAATATAATGTTCATACACCTTTGGCTGTTGCATTTGTATCCATATAGTATTTAGTATTGTGATGTTTTGTAATGCAAGTACTATAGGAACTAGAATGATCTTGTTCTCGCATCCAACATCAAATATCAGCAGACTTTTAAAGCTATAATGAACCAAATGCACATATGACGTGTTTCCTTAATGAAAGTGTTTTCTTACTGCTCACTCAGCAATGCAAATCTTTGAGTCATTGGATTTGGGTGTTGAAAGTTCACTCTTACAGTAAAAATGAGTAATCACTTCCTATTTTCAGCTGTTATTTCCCATGGTGCAGTCAGATCACAACTAGATTGATTTCTATGTGGGGAAAAAGGCCACACACACACACACACACACACACACACACACACACACACACACACACACACACACACACACACACACACACACACACACACACACACACACACACACACACACACACACACACACACACACACACACACACACACACACACACACACACACACACACACACACACACACACACACACACACACACACACACACACACACACACACACACACACACACACACACACACACACACACACACACACACACACACACACACACACACACACACACACACACACACACACTTTGTAATTACCTGCTGCATTAGTTTTGTCTAGGTGCTAAGAGAGTTTATATTTGGAGAAAGATAGATCAGTTTGATTATCTCTGCTTAATATGAACTTATTTGCCTGAAACATCCACTGCATTCAGTCCTTAATAATGTAACTAGTAGGTCAGGGAAAAATCGCTTCCTGGACTATAATAGTTTTTTAAGGTGTTCTTTGGATTTGGACTACGGATGGAAACTAGCTCAAAGCTAAAATCCGGCTCATTTACATTTAAACGCATTATTTTGTTTAAAATGTTCATTAATGTGCACTGTCCAGGTTCAAATAAACGATTAAATGAAAATGGATAGTACATTTAGACAACTATATTTGACTTGAATTTTGACTCCCTGAAGACTTGAGACCAACGTCCAACACAACTATTACACGCCTTGTAGTTTATTTAGGTACCTTTTATGATACAATACAATATAAAAATGATAATTGACAAAACTAGGGAGGGTCATAATAACTAACGTCATTTGACTCATAGTGTAGCCTGAGCATTTCTATCATTGCAGAGTATTTAATCAAACGTTGACTCAATGTTTAAGAGATTATTTTCTTGTGAGGCCTGTGTATTGATAATGTCAGACATAATGTTAGGACTGAAAAATTGAACTTTGACCAATATTTCTGCAATTTTCTTTACATAAAATATTAAAGGAACTTTTGCAGGTTTAAAAATCAAGTAATTTCTGCTATAAGATAATAGATAGATAGAATGGGAGGGATGAAACCTTTAATGGTCACACGTGCAGAGCACACAGCACACACAGTGAAATGTGTTCTCTGCATTTAACCCATCCTAGTACCAGGAGTCTAGTACTCCTAGTACCAGGAGTCTAGTACTAGGAGCAGTGGGCAGCTATTGTACAGCGCCCGGGGAGCAATGGGAGTGGGGGGGTGTCCGGTGCCTTGCTCAAGGGCACCACGGCAGGGCAGGAGGTGAACTGAGACCTCTCCAAGTAGCAGTCCACACTCCATATTTAGGTCTGGTCGGGGACTTGAACCGGCGACCCTACGGCTCACAGTCCAAGCCCCTACTGACTGAGCCACTGCCTGAATGATGCTACTGTTTGTATAAAATGTGTCCCTGCACACATAAAATAAATCATTTCATGTGGTATTTTTTTTTTTATAGACGAACTTAATAAGCTTGCTTACCCATCTGCATGTCAGGAGGGGTGGAGGTGGGCGTCAGCGCCTCGTCGTGGTCGGGCAGCACCATCTGGTGGTCTGAGCAGAAGGAGCCCTGGCTGCAGTAGGAGGAGGAGGAGGTGGTGTTGGAGGAGGAGGAGAAGCTGGACGTGGTGAGAGGAAACCTCTGCAGGGTGGCGGGGGTGCTGGGGGGAGTTGGCATTGGACAGATGTCGTCGATGGGCGGCACGGAGAAGAACACCGGTATTGTGGAGTCTGAATCCCTGTTGATGAGCATCACCTGGATGGGAGCCGAGTGGCTGCGCAGGTTCACCTGATACTTCTTCTGACCACTCTGACCCTGCGTGGAGAGGGAGAGCTTTATTCTCATTACAGCAGATATAATCAACCTTCAAATATATACTGTAATGGATCGCAGGACTACTTGGATGTGAAAGGGGTCTCTTTCATTGTCAAACCAACAGACAAATACACCATGTTGGAGTTTGACTCAACGGGCATTTTAGGATCGTTCAACTCACTTTTTGGCAGCATCTCCAAACGAATGCCAATGTACCAACTGGATGTTTAAATGGGCTATCGTTTTCTTACAAATGCGCCAAAACAACTGAAGTGTAGTGTTCACTGCGCGTTTCAGCTTCTCCTAAGTAGCCACAGAAATGATTTATTTACAAATAAGAAGAGTTATTTAAACTAGGGTGTTTATTAATCTGAGCTAAAGTTTAGATTCCCAATATGTGATCAGCTTAGTTTTTGGAGCTGTTGGAGTATCTTGCCGGGTCAGACTGGCTGTGATGAAGTCACGGGACTCTCTTGCTTGAGAGGACTTCAGTGTGAAAGTCTGTTGGTAACACGATGCTTAATCGGTCATTTAGCAGGCAGTAAATACTGAGCATTTGGGTATGTAGGAGGCAGCACTTTTCAAACACAGCCCATCTATTCTAATCAATAAAAACAGATTTTAGGAAGTCACCAACCGTTTCTGGCAGAGGTACCTCCAGCTGCGTCCCAGCAGGAGCCATTACTGCAAGAAGAGTGTCTCGACTGAAGGCATTGCAGATGTCTTCATGCGTGACAAATTTATAAGTGGAGAGGTGTTAAGTAAACAGAAGCAGGATTACTTATGGGAGGAAAATAAACTAGAAAAACAAGACTGTGAGCATTGTGCACGTCAGGATTAGCCTCGCTGTGAATTCACAAGAGACTGACAATAGCAAATATATTGACAATCCTCCGTTTATTAAATGTTCTTAAATGTGGCCTCAGGACGGCTAGCTTTGGGAACTACAGAGAGACATATTCAAGATCACAAAGAAAAGTCTAATTTACACTTAATATGTTCAGTCCAATCGTAAGTTGCATTTTAAAGTAACTGGTGTAAATACATGTACAAGTACAAGCAAAGAAACTGCCAGATGGCATAAAAGGATATGTGCTGGTGACGGGATCGTGGTTGAGATGTTTGATGTTCTCCTCGAGCCATGCCTTCTGGAGGTCCAGCTCTTTCTCTTGGGCTTCCAGCTCAGAGACTTGGGCCTTCAAAACCTTCACCTGCTCCAACACCTCCTGAGTTTGGCTGCCTGAGTTCTCTCCCCTGGATGTAGAGAAGAAAGCATGTGGTAGCACAGCACAAGCACAGCAACGAGTCATATATTAGTGATGGTTTTCTCCATATATTAAGGCAGTGGCTCAGTCAGTAGGGGCTTGGACTGTGAGCTGTAAGGTCGCCGGTTCAAGTCCCCGAACAGACCTAAATATGGAGTGTGGACTGCTACTTGGAGAGGTCCCAGTTCACCTCCTGCCCTGCTTGGTGCCCTTGAGCAAGGCACCGGACACCCCCCCCACCCCCACTGCTCCTAGCACTAGACTCCTGGTACTAGGATGGGTTAAATGCAGAGAACAAATGTGTGTGCTATGTGCTCTGCACGTGTGACCATTAAAGAGGGTTTCATCCCTCCCATTCTATTCTAATCTTATAATTAGATTTGCTTTCTAAAAACACAGAAACACGTTTGAATTGAATGCCTAAAGGTGAAAGATGATACTTTTCATGCACAGTAGCATAGAAGTGCAATCAAATGTTTCACTTTGACAACATTAATTTATGAAAACATATCGAAGGCCATTGTAAGAAAGTGAATATTTGACAGATTTGAACATAAAAATAAAATAGTTTTTTCAAACCTCCACTGGATTATGTTCTTGTTTTTCTTCTCAATCAACCCGACTCCTTCCAGTACGTTGGTAATGTCGTATATCCTCCTCTTCTGTTTCACTGCCAAGCTGTCTGCAGCCTGTCAATTCAGACATTTCAATAAAGAGTCTTACAGAGTGGCAGCTTAATATGCACCCTTGTTGACAAGATACATCACAGATACATTTACCAGGCTTTAACAGGACACCCAGATTGTGGGTGTCCTGTTAAAGCCTGGTAAATGTATCTGTGATGTATCTTGTAAACATTTATTGATGTGAAAAGAGAGAGACTCAAACAACGGCGGCAAATGAATGATTTGGCAAATTAAGCTGCACAAACAGAAATAAAACCACTTGGCAGAAGAGGACAGTTATACAATAGCAGAGGAGGAAGGAGGAGGGAAAGGGTCTGAGGAGCCCGCTGTGTAAACATTACACAGCTTTGGCGCGCAAGAAGGAGGGAAAACTAATATAATAAGAAAGTAGATATGTGGAAGATACTTCAGTGGGGTCTCGCAAAGATTCATCCACAAGGGCCGTGACCACAAGGCCTATCACAAACTTTATGTTTTAGTGGAAGGGTTTTCTAGCTGATAACAGTCTCATGAGAAAACCAAACATTTTAAGAGATGTTAGGAAGGATACTTTCAGAACAATATGTAACTGCAACTACTGTATCAACTTTTCTCCTCCTCAATGAATCTTCCGATCATCTTTCCAATTACTGTTTAGTGTATAAACTGGTTTCTTTGAGTGCAAACATACATTTACTAATGTCACATGCTATATCAGATTTGTACAGTCAAAGAGAACAACAAAAGTTGAGTTTTAAGGTGTTCCAAAAAGTTTGGGAACCAGTTGAGACTTGTGTCCAACTGTTGTCTGTGACACCAAAGATGGTGTAATCAAACATTAGAGTCACAGTCAAAAGCTGTTTTGTTCAGTAGAGTCGGATTACAAATAAGCAAAATGACATTTCACACTGATTAGAATAGACTTATTCCACTCAGGTTATACTAAAAGAGGATCCATATTAAATGTAGTTAAATGAGAATGCCTACTTCAGAGGGAAGATTTAAGCAGTGGTTGAATAAGTAATCAGATCTTATACTTAGGTAGAAGTACTAATACTACAGTGTATACATACTCAGTTACAAGTAAAAGTCCTGCATTCAAAAATACTTAAGTGCCAAAAGTAAAAGTACTCATTATCCAAAGTGGCCTTTTTCAGAATAATACATATATTATCAAGGGTTTATAATAAGTGATGCATTAATGAGTCTATCATTTTAATTTAGCAGGATGAGATAGCATTAATGACTTTCTGTACTGCCAGGTATATCCATCCATAATAGTACATCAAAGTGTATTAGGTAATTTAACTTTTGTATTAATATAATAAACTTGCAAAAGTAACTCGTAACTAATGTTGTGAAATGATTGTAGTTATTAAACATTACAAGATTTCTTTCCAAAATGTAGTGGAGTATTAGTATAAAGTAGCATAAAATGAAAATACTCAAGTAAAGTAGTACAAGTAACTCAAACATGTACCTAAGTACTTGAGTAAATGGACTTAGTTACTTTACACCACTGAATGAAACATTAAAGTAAAACATAACAACAAATGAATTAAAATTAGCACAAAATACACTTTTAAGACTCAATTCAAAAGAGGATCTATATTTAAATATAGTTTAATGAGACTGCCTCCCGATTTAAAGTGTGTTTTCTTTGAGGTTAGATATAAGTCATCCGAGAAATAAATAATATGCAGACCCCTAGCCCTACTTTAACTTAAAAAGTTACAGTATTAAGATGGTTTATCTTAATAAACGTTAATAATTTAACTCCAAACTAGCTTCACAGACACCCTATGTAAACAGTTCTTCCTGCTTGTGAGTCGGTGTTACTGAACCCACAAACAAGGAGCTAATGGCGGCTAGCCAGACCACCTGTTAAGTAAATCAATGCACCTGACCGGCCCCGTTTGTGACTGACAGCCCTTTGTTCCCAGGTGGCACACGGGTTAGTCCCCCCGAAAACAACAGAGAAACAGCCACCCTGAGCCTGCTCTCCTCTCCGTTTCACTGACCACTTTCAAATCCAGGACGCCATCCTTCGCTTCTTGAAGCAGACTGACAAACTTCATCGTGAGGAGCCCCAAACTTTTCTCGTGGCGACTCGGTGTCGAGCGAACAGTCTCCGTCATCTCTAACTCCATCTTCCTTCTGTAAAATACTTCCTTTTAAAGTCAAGCGTCTGTTTTTTAACTACCAATAACAACCATTTATGTCCAATAAAGACTCTGTTAAAATAAACTCGACTGGTCGACGGCTGGCCAGTACCTGTTGGGTTTTTACATCAACGGACGTTACGTTAGGCTACTGTTGCCATGGCAACCGCTGTCCTGCTCGCGACACCCTGGCGACACCATGGGCGACACCCCTCCTCGACCAGAATTTGGCCCCACCCCCTCCGACCAATCAATCCTCATCAATGTGTATGGACGCCGAGAAGTCAAAAACAAATAAATAATGAAGTAAAGCCAGACATACTAACGCCTGGTTAAGTATCTCGTACTTCTTACACTGCTAACTATCTTATCACTTTGAATAAGTCAAATTATGATGCAGGAGTTATAATTCAAGTCATATTTTTTACTTCCATTAAATTTGACATAAGCTGACTTTCAGAACACAAAAGCTATCACAGCATATATAACTTGAGTACATTTTAAGTTTAGTGTGTTCTCCTGTATGCTTACTGGACTGTTAAAGGGTTTTGCTTTTTATAGATTTATTGTATACACATCTGTAATTTCAACAAAGTAAACCAAGATAAATATGTCCATTCTTAATACTCACACTTTAATTACACACCCTTACCATGATTACAATGAATGGTTTCTCTAGGTGTGAAATTAGCTGTATATCTATTTAGTTTAATTTAAGTGCACAACACAACAAAATAGATTACGTAGTACTAGCGAAAATGTTCTTTAATAAAAAGAAAATAATTTATTAGATAAATCATGATATACGAAAATACATAAATAACTTAACATAAAAAACACTTGTTTAATAAAAAAAACTCATGTGTTAAAATTCAAAAGTTGCCATGGCAGTAAAGAGGTCATGTCATGTGTTAAAAGTCTTTAAGTACACTTGTGAGACGTTTCATTTTCTCTTCCATAATTCTTTTGGTGGTTTCCGTCTCTTCCAGCAGCTGACGCATCTCCTCCTCTACATCATATACCTGAGGAGGACACGGATATACAACTTGTCTTAAATTGTTCAACATGAGGTTCTCATACAAACTATCCTACTGTCTATATTTTACCTTCTGATTGGCTTGTTCAATCTTCTTCTGCTTATCATTTGCCAGTCGTAGCAGCTCAGCTTGATGCGAGGCTTGACCAGACTCTAGCTGTCGACGAAATGCATCGTCCACACAGTGTAATTTATCTACTGCAGCTCTGCAAGACAGACAACAGATAAAACATAATGTTACAAAAGGAACTAAGGGGATGTTGACCTAACTGCCTTGTCAGGATATTTTAGGATGGACGGTACCAGAAAAGAAACACTGACGAACAAACGTATGTTTTATGCTCTTTATCAAAGGCACTAAGACACCCTGATCATAATTTCACTTTATACCTAACATGTCAATACAATTAAAAGTCTTCAGAGTTCTCTATCTTTGGGTTTTAGGAGAATGATGGAAGAGCCATGTATTTAAGAAATACTGCTTACTGGCCCAGAAATGTCCAAGAGAGATAAAGTATGTTCCTTTAAGGCTTTAGATGAAAGCAATTAAACTGCTTTCTTGATTAAGTTATTTACTTCCCTCTCCTCCAGGATTAAAGAAAGCAGAATGGCTGCTTTTAAAATTCTTCTTGTGACTGATTTAATGCAGGCTAATTGGTATTTCTACAAAAGAGATGCAAATACAGCTAAAATAAGCTCATTTTATCAAATAAAATGAACTTTTACTTGATAACTACACGTCATATTTGTCTCATGTAATTGATCATACTTTTGTGCTTCGATTGCTCTATCTCTTTCTTCCAGCAGCAAGCGTTCCTTGGAATCAAAGCTCTCCTTCATGCTCTTCACCTGGCTCTCCAACCGAGTCAGCAGGTCGGCCTTCGCCTGCCACTTCTTACTGGAATCACTAATAGAAGAATAGATATACATATATCCATGTCAGTATATTGTACATAAAGTGTCTTAATATGTGCGTGATGGGATGCTTGCCTGTAAACTCTTTTGATCTCCTCAAGCTTTGCGTCCTTGTCCTCCAGCTGCTGTTTGAGCTCCTCCTTGCGCAGGCTCAGGTGCTCGATCCGCTCCTTTAGCTCCGCCTGCTCAGATGTCTCCTCCTCCAGCTGCTTCTGGAACCTCTTCTGGGTCTGGACCGCCTCATCGCGCAGCCTGCGGATCTGATCATCGCGCTCCTGCAGAGACTAGATAGCAGGAAGGCAGAGGAGAAAAAGAAATGTCTTAAGTGTGTCTCAAGAAAACAAATACGACAGATAATTATACACAAATGCACACACAAGCTCATTGTAAAGCGCACGTCTATGGATGTTCCAGGTTCTCATGTGATGGACCAAGGTTTTGGTTTTAGAACAACTCAGTGATTTCAATATTAAAAGTACCTCTTTGAGTCTGCGGATGGTCTCTGTCTGGTCATCAATGATTTTGGTTTTGATTTTTAGGGCATCAGTGTCTCTCTCGTTCAGTTTCTTCTGACTCTCCAGCTCAGCGCCCAGCACCTCTAACCTGGCCTCCAGGCGTCCACGATCCTGAGACAAGGATGCTCCTAGTATAGAGAAACACATACAATTGTAAATCAGATCTCATCTATAAAACTTTACTTTAACATCTATTATCATTATGTATCTTTTAGATCCCTTTTCTTTTCTTATTTGAGTGCCTATATGAAGAATTATATTCCGTCGTAGCATTTTCTACAGTGTATATTTACCATGCCCTGCCTGAGTGTGTTTCTCCCACATAACCACTAGATGACAGACTTTACTTGATATAGATGAAATTAAACATCAGCTAAAATGTCCTTCATACTGATTCTTAAGTTAACATTTAGGAGTGACTCACTCTGCCTATGACCAATTGGAAAGAGTTGGACTCAAGGAAGACCTGTACTCATGTTTGAATGTGTGCGATGCACTATTAAGGCTCATTCAGAGTCACCATCATGTGCCCTGCTGGACGTCTCCCACCTTGCTGAGCGAGCTCCTGGCCCCAGATCCTCCTCTCGGCCCTGAGGCCGTCGATCACAGACTCCTGAGCTGTGAGCTGAGACAACAGTCGTCCCTTGTCTTTCTTAAGCAGCTCGAGCTGCAGGCTGAGACGCCGGTCCTGCTCTGCCTCTGCTTCCAAGGAATGCAGACGGCTCTGGCAGAGGGACAGACAGAGACGGACAGTATTAATGATCAACGGCCATCTGTCACGGCTGACAGATGGAAAGGCAGCTGGATGCTCCAGTATTCATGCTGAAGTCTCCTGAGGGCTCAGGCTGGACAATCTGTGGCCAGGCAATGACTGATGACCATAACAGGACATCTCTATTTTACCTTTTAGATTATTTATTTTTTAAAAACCTGATCAGATAATGTCTTCCCTTGTTAACTTTAATATACTTTCTTACAGTCAGAAATATAAGAAACAACAAATTAAAATATGAACAAAAAAGTGCAACAGAAAAGGTCATGGTTACATGTGTTCATTATTGAAGAAGGGTGTATACGAATATCTTGAGATTTATATATCAGTTAGTCCACAAGCATGTGCACTGTGTCATAAATCATCCATTTGTTCAATTTCACTACAACAACTTTCTCTCTCACTATATGCTTTTTTTCGTTAGTATAAATCTCTCTATATCATTTATTTGCTATACATTGGCTCATTCAGTCTTATATTAATTTATTCTCATCGTGTTCTTACTTGTAAACATCACTATGTTGATTAAATATCGATCATTATCAGTGACATTTATACTTTCAAGGTACCTGATGTTGCATTCCAAAGGTAATGCATATCCCAGAATACCTTGTGAAATGTGCATTTACCCATAATGAGTATTATTAATGATATTAGTTTTCTTCTCTATTACTACATATCACATCAACATGATTGTTGTTGACCAGTGTTTTTAACGATGTATATAAGGTGTAATGAAGTAGGTTAGATGATCCTTTTCTTATTCCCGGATGTATCTGTCTGTATCTTTACTTGAGCGCAGTACCTTCAGAGCAGTGACAGCTTCTCTCTTGGCTTTGATGAGATCAGTGATGCGGTTCTTCTGTTCTTTGACCATGGCTGTGAGCTCCTGCACCAGAGAGGCTGATTTCTTCTCCCTCTGCTGGGACTGGGCCAGGGTCGCCTTGAGCCCCAGCAGCTCTGCAGTCATCTGATCACAAGCGTCCTTTACCTGCAGAAGCAGAGCGAGGAAGGGGGACAGAATGTGAGTGAGAAGTCTAGGAGTTCAACAGATTGAAGCATTACCTGACTCTACATTTTTTTTCAATCAATACCACATTCTGACAGAAAAGGTTCTTTAAAGAAAGCTATTTCGTTTTAAAGTACGAGTTTACATTTTGCTGGCAATCTGTATCTCATTCAGACTTTTCTAAAGGTCAAATATAGTACACTTTAAGATCTGATTTTCTGCAGAATGTATGAATGAGACCTGTAACCATAACGAGAACATTGATTAATATCCAATCCCTTTGTACAGCTTTCTTCCTGTGGCAATCACAGTCTACTTGTCCAGATTCAGTTGACCCTAATTCAATCTCAGCTTTCATCATTGGGCTGAAAATAATAATCAAAGAGAGCCCATGTAGACTGGGGTCAATTCCAGTTCAATCATTTTACTTTTACTAGACACAGTAATCATTTATCAGCTAAGTCTGTATTTTTGGCGAACCTCAGAGAAGCGAGCAGCCTCAATGGTCAGCGCCATGCGAAACTCGTCCTCCAGAGCTGCGTACAGTTTCCTTCCCTCTTCTAGTTTCTCCTGCAGCTCCAGCACCCTGTGGCCATGCCTCTCTTCCACTGATGCAACCTCTTTAGCCACCGCCTCTCGGAAATCTGCCCCGCCGGGCTGCAACCGCAAATCCAGTTGTTTTCTGTGAGACAACGTGAAAAAGGATTGTACAGTTGATAAGACCTCTTTTTATAAAGGTTAAGAGGGCCTTAACACAAACAGGAAAGCCTGCACTTTTAAATGTGTATCATTTAAATTGTGTACGTAAAATAAATGTAATAATATTCTGAAATACAGAAGGTTGAGCACTCAACAATTTGGAAAGAGAAAAGTTTCATTGATCAACGTAACTGATATGTGCCGACACTCTTGGCGTTAGGTGTATATCCACTGGTTAATATTTAAATGTGTTGTT